AACAGCAGTTCCATAACAATAATTAAACACCCTTCATCTAGCAGATAAATTTTAGCTAGCAAATTATTAGAGAAATATCATTAAAAAAATACCCCTCCACCAAAAGGTTAACGGTCATTCCCCTGGCTTTTGAATTAATTCTCGAAGAATAAATGAATCTTCATGCCAAAATACTTATTTCTGGGGCACAGAAATTTATTTTACTTATATTTTCCCCGAGTCTTTCAATTCACTAACTCTCTCTAATCCAAATGGAACCTCTAATGTCCTGTTTAAGTCACACCCTAACAATAACTGTAAAACAAAAAGTGAACTTGTTCCCAATCCTGTTCAAATTCAGTTCCAAAATTTCTAGATAAACAGTTTGGCTTTGAGGGTGTGAAGTTGTAAAACCAGCAAAAATGAATACGACAGAACCAACAGATGATTTTATTGAGCCTTTGACCGAACAGGGTTTATAGTCCGACTTTCTTCTCCATCTTTTGGATCTGGTTGAGAAATATCCAAGTCATCTGCATATCAGAAACATTGAGCAATCAAAGACATGTAAATGGTTACTTGTAAACATTCTGCAGGTAAGCTTTCAGCTGATTGTTGAAGAGGTATAAGAGAAGGGGAATGTTAGTACCATGACATGGGGGGCAATTCGAATGCAATAGACAGGGAATCCAGTGTATAATTTGAATGGTCCTCCGGATTTGAGGGTTTTTAAGGCACAATCCATAGAGCCGCTGTATGGATATTTTCCCTCAGCATCAGGTTGCATTTTCTGGATTTGCGTTTTAACATAATCAAAGGGTAAACTGCAAGCCGAAGCAAAGAATCCTGAAACAGTACTTGCCCCTGGGGAGAAAAGAAAAAAAGATATTAATAAAAGCAACAGAAATAAAAATAGATGAATATGCAATGAGAGTGCAAACTAGTTTACGACTAACGCAACTTTTACTGTAAACACTTTCAACACTTCAACCATTTACGTGTTTAAAATGTAAAACATAATCTATCATTCTATCACCAAATTTTCATCAGGTTCCCTTTCAAGCACCCTCTTGTCCCCACATCTGCAACTACTTAATACTTGTAAGTGAAATATGCAAAGTTCTCAAACTCAGCTTCTTCTCAGATAACTGTTGATGTGCCAGTGCCACTAGGGACTTTCGTTAAAGTCATTACAAATAACATCAGCTAGTCCCACATCTTCTTTGCACTCAAGTGATACACATTCCTCATTTATGAGTATGTATACAACTATACATGGTTTATAATCTTTTGACCACAATGCCACAACCTAAACAAGTGGGTAGAGACTGCATGCGTGCAAATCCCCACAGAAATGCATGTGTACAGAGGAAAGAAACAAAAGTTCATTAAAATTCAAACAAGCAATCATAATTAGCTTTGCGTATTAACAGTAAGATCCTCACAACAGAATACAAACACATTTGCATTGAAAAGAGATATGCTTAAATAATTTCAAGGATGGAGTGAATAATTTCACCTAATATGAATCTATCTATTAAGTTGAGTTCATCAAAGAACCATTGGAAATAGCAGTTTTTGCACGACATTATTTATTTCTTTATTCAGAACCAGAAATTAACTTCAAAAAATTACAATCTCAAAACAGCAACAAATATCAAGATTACTAAGAAAAGAACTTACCTAGTACTGTTGCAGCTTCACCAAAGCCAAGGGAATCCTTGAAAAACTCAACACTCTGATCATATGAGGCAAGCATTCCCATGTTCAATGCCATAGCTCTCACTACTGTAGGGCCTGCACCTTTCCAAAGTGCCAAAACTCCTTCATCTGCAACAATACGATAAAGGGCATGGAAAGCATTTTGGTAATTTCGGCGCTGAACAGCAGGCAAAGTGGCATCGGCTTGCATACGGATAAGTGCCAAATCTGCAGGACTACCAACACACGCACCAATAGCTCCAGCAGTCAGACCACATAAAGCCTTTTGATACAATGGCAGGGGCTTTCCATCATTGGCTTCAATAGCTTTGTTTGTCAACATCCTGCGGGGAACAGAAGAGATTAATAACCAAATTAGTAAATTCACAACTCAAACATCTAATTCATGCTTGATACAGAAATAAGAGTAATCCCCTTGGGATAATCCTCAAAAAGAACATGATTGTTGCTGGAAACAAATATCACACCACAGGATTAAAACAATTTATAACATGAAAAAGAAAAATCAAAGTCTCTACAACAATTTATCCTCAGAGAATTTAATTCCAAACACTGATATTGTCATAAGCACTCACTTGAATGATCCAAGTCGGGCAGTGGTATATGTAGCTTGTCTCAGCAGACCGGCAGACAGCCCCTGCCCAAAATAGCAGAAGTACCCAGACATTAGTAAAAGAAATACTTTCATAATTACATTCAGAAAAACTAACCAGCCAGCAAATTGGGAAATTGCAAACAACAGATGATCAACTGGTTAAAGTTTCTTCCCGACGGTATGAACTCTAGTGTGCAGTTACAGCCTTACAGGTTCCAATGCCATTCAAATATGTTCATCAGACAGTTGACGAGATGCAACCATAAACTTGACAAATTTCATCTTACATGTCAAGATTAACAGACCAACATATAATCCCAATAACAGAAAAATGTACTAAATTTCAAAACCATGGACTTAGATTAATATCTATGGCAACCAAAATAAGTGGCATACACACCCGTGTAACAAAAACTTTAGATGGTCTATCTTCAACTCTATGCTAGTCCAGAAGAGATCTCTATCTCTTGCACTTCCACAGTTACACAGATCCCACAACTTCCAAAACAAAATTAAATACTTGAAAAGTAGATCAGCCATACATGAGAAACAAAAATGTTGAAACTTCAATTGATCAGTAGAACCAAACCTTGTAAAAGGCACCAAAACCCTCCTCCTTAAGCATGTTCTTTGCCACCGTTGCT